CATGCAATGCGATTGAATAAGAAGGAAAATTAACTATTTTCGATCAAAGTTTCCGTGTGGTTGGTAAATAATAACGTTACAAATATAAATAAATAAAATGGTATTTTTTTATTAATAATAGTTTTAATGAAGCTGTAGATTTATAGTAAATACTCAAAATTTTGAATGCTTGGAGAAAACCCTTCGAAATCGAAGGTTTTATTTAATTAAAATATAAAGAGCTTGTTATAAAATTTGGCATTCTACAGCGATGCTTTGACAGTGAGAACGCGAGACTACTTTTCGGTGCAAAATATTGGCTATCCTAGCAAACGAACTACATTGCGGTACTTTCTACACCTATAGCTTCAAAACAATACGGTCGTTGTAGTCGGGGCAGGATTGGAGTAATCTCCTGCCTAGAGTGGTAAACTTGTGATTGGCGTGGCCAAATTGGCATGTCGGAAGAAATCATCTGGCACGTAACGTATCATACGATTTCGGTTTCGCTATTTTGTCCTAGCCCATTAGCACTTCCTATCTGGCCGCCCCATTGTGGGTCTGGCCGAACCCATAATGGCTGCTAAAAGAGGCCCTCTTAGTGTCCACAGGGCAAAAAGAGTTTTAAAAAAACTTTTAGCACGTGCAATACGTTTATCCTAAAAAAACAATGTCCGTTATTAATTTATCTGGTATTTTGATATGGACCGAGGAAGGATCGTGGCCGTTAATCGAAGGAGAAGCAAGTCCTATTGTTACTTGCGGTATTAATTAATGGACAAATTCGTTTTTTATCCCATATTGATATTTTATAGTTAATATTCTGTTCATGTACAGTATTAATTAATATAACGGAGTAACAATAAATAAGAATATAATGAGTAGTAGAGTCCAACGGTGGGAAGTAGAGGAAGGCTATGTGTCATCATATCTCGAGTGATGTCATATAATAAAACTTTTACTAACTATTGGCCTTTACAACATTTTTAAAAACTTACTCTAATCCGCAAAAATAAGACCTTTGCCTGTTTATAATAAATTAATAATATAAAAATAATTTTTTAAATAAAATCTCATAACAGATTGCGCCGCAATTTTAACTTTGTAAGTTATTTGAATGGCAAAAAAATCGTGCAAGAGTTTGCTGCTTTTTTGCTTTAGTTATGACATTATTTTTTAAATGTATGAAATTATACTTCTAAATAATAACTTTAATTGATAATAAATGTTTATACAGAACCAAATATTATTCAAATAATAAACAGATTATCATTTCCTAAATTATAAAATTTCTATTTAATTTTACTCACTCTTTTTTTAGAGAGTTTGCTATATTCTAACAAAACACAAAAAACATTACAATTAAAAAACCCGGCAACGAGTAGCGTAACTTTCTCGGCTGTCATGAGAATTTATTTAAACTAGACAGGTCATATCGAAAAACTCGAGACGATGTTTATTGATGTAGCTAGCCTGGGCGAGTGTTTTCACATTTTTGGGTCCGGTTTTTTTTACATATAAAGCCGCACAATTGTTTCATATTTTTGCAGTTTGGTGAATTTCGGTTTAAAAAAATATGATTAAAAGTATAGATAAAAAGAAAAATGCAATAAAGAAATTAAATTAAAGTAAACGAAAGTAAAGAAAATAAATAAAGTAAACTTAACTAAAAAATGGGTTCTGGGGAACTTTTGCATTTTTTTTTTTTTTTGTTCGATTTTTAAACTACTGACATGTTGACGAAAGGAATTTTCTTTAAATCGGTAATGGTTCGGGCATGCAGTTACAGCAGAAGCAATCGAAGAGCTAGGTAACGTGGCGTTATCTAGTGAGGATGATGGATATAAATCAGGTTCCTTTTTCTTTGAACTTGGATAACTTTTCTGTAGTTTAACCGAAATTCGCCAAGATCTGTAAAAATATGAAACAACTGTCTGGCTTTATATTCCATAAAACAGCACCTAAAAATGTTAAAATACTTTTTTATTAAGCGTCAAGGAGGAGAAAGTCGACACTTTCATTTTTTGAATATATGTTTTTTCTGAGTCAATTATATTTTCCAAAAGATAATTTATGCACATGCCAGGATTCTACCGAGCATTCTGATATCAAAATTATCAAAATCTAACGAGGGAATTCTTTAAAAAAAATCAGACATTAAACTAAAAAAGTTCTTGCAGAAGCCTGGGCTTCGCTCAGAAAATTATAAAATGGTAAAACGCACAACTCGGAGGATAGATTCTAGATGATGGTTCTGATTTTAGGTATTAAAAATTATAAATGCTAATAAACAAGTAAAATCACCATTGAATTCGATCCCTTTCAAGATATGATATATGATCTTCCTCTATCATTCCACCTCTCGACATTTAACCACCAAAATTTAATATTATTAATGTCCCTTACATACAAGCTACCATGTCAAAGTTCGTTTCGTAATCTTTACACCATCCTGAGATATTAAACGAAAGACCCACCCCCTTTTGACTTTTTCTCCTTTTCTGACTTGTTTTACTTTTTTGGAGTTCAAAACATGCAGATTTGCAAAAGACTTAGAGAGTCAAATTTGACACGATTCTTATACTTTCCTTCTTATATACGAGCCTCGTATATGTTACAGCCAAAGCCCAAAATCGGCGAAAGTAGGAAATGTCCGGCCAAATCAGAAAATTGCTAATGTAAATTGACTGGCCAATGTCCGATCTTTTCTTGATTTTGGGATTTGGCCAGCCAGTTTGCGAAATGGCATGGGGCGATCGGCCAAAGTCCGAAGAAAAAAGTCATAATGGTGTATAATATGACGTATAATGACGCATATATTTTAAAATATGGACGCTAAGTAACCTGATGTTTTATTAAATATAAACTTATCAATCGATAAGTGTAAGCTAAATCAAAAGTATGAATATTTAGAATTGCAAATATCAAAATTATCATTTAAAAAAATTAATAGAGCAGTACTTTTATTTCTTTAACTTGTAAGAATCTTTTTAAACAATTTAGTAAATTATTATATTTTAAAGGAATTTAAAAAAAATGAAAATTTGTGAAAGGACTATAGGTAAAAGGTATCATAACACGTGAGCGATTTGCCATATAGGAACATAGGAAAGATGCTTTCCGGGTGTTCTTTTACTGGAAACTGGCTTCTATTTAAGTATTAGACAGGTAAGAGAAACACCGGAAAATGTCATGCGGCATTCCGTTAGCAAGGCGCGAACTTGAGACTAACTACTAGTGTTTAGTAGTTTTATTTAGTAGGCCACGAATATTTGTTGAAGATAGGATATAAACAATCGGTTGCTTCAAATATATTAAATACAATATATTTTTTTACGTAGTAAAGTAACTAAAGTTAAAAATTAAAGTATTTCATAGATCATTTTTATCGGGAATTTCTTTCGTTAAAAAGTTATTTCGTCATATTTTACGTAGAAATGAATAAAAATCTGAAGTTAAAGTATTTTAAATCCAATATAGTATCGCTCATTCCAGATAATTAAATTTTGTTTTTGTATTATAATTTTATTTAAAAGAAAACGAAATATTAAAAAAGTAATGGTTTGTAATGTTACTTTATTTATTAATTAAAACATTATTTTATTTGTTTTTGACTCTTATGAGGGCTTTTCCTCCCATACTTATCGTAACTTGTCAAAGCCCACAATGGCATGACCAACATAGGGCCTAATTTTTTTTTTTAACTTTTTCCGCCCTGTGAACACTAAGGGGGCCTCTTTTTAGCAAGCCAATTATGGGTTTGACCAGGCCCACAATGGGACGGTCGGGTGGTGAGGGACGGGGCACGATATATCCGGACGGACCACCCTCGAAAAATTCCTGGGAATATTTCGACCCGTTGGGATTCGAGCCCAGGTCTCCCAGAGCAGTACGTTGGCCGCTCGACCATCCATGGGGCCTGACTAGAGTTGCGATGTTTGTTTGTTTAGTTATGTTATGGCAACGCTTGGGCGATCTGCCCACGGAAATGCCTTCCGGGAGGTTATTTTAAGGGTAACTGCCCCTATTCAGGCGTTACAGTCGTGGAGAAAACCCGGAAACTCCACGTGGCCAACACGTCCTGGGAACTCCCAGTGTTCAGGAAACGGAACCGCTTGGCAACTGATGGCCCTAGAGTTGTAAACTTTCAGAGTAACAAATTCTAAACACAATGTGAAAAAACACAAACTTAAATTAATGAAAGGAAACCTACAATCTTAGGAAAATTCCTTTGATGATAATGATGATGAGACAGCCAGATGGCCGAAGCAATTAAAGCGTCAATCTACCGCTCTGGGAGATACAGGAATGAATTCGGACTGATAAAAAAAAAAACCAGGAATTTTTCAGGGACGAATCCCGTCCCTCATCACCTGCCGCCATCATTGTGGGCCTGGTAACGCTGGGTATAACTAAAGTACACTCTCTTAGTTTTGTTTCTATCCTTAGGATGGAAAGAAATAAAAATAGAAAATGAAAAAAAATGCAAATAGGAGTGAAAATAATTCGGATTGCAATTAGTGATACCAACTTCTCATAAAGACAAAGAGACAATTAGAAAAAAAAACACAACTCCCGTTTTCAGAACATTTTCAAACAGTGTTCATTTCCTGAAAAATTTTAAAAAAATAACTGAAATTCCAAACAGTAGGCAACTCTAAGCCCGATATATTCAGAACAGACCACCGTTCGAAAAATTCCCGGAGTTATTCGTTCGGATTTGATCCTGAGTTCTCAGAGTGATAGATTGACGCCTTAATTTCCTCTGTCATCCAGCCGTCTCTTCTTTAACGTTAATATTTTATTCAAAATTTCATTCATTGAAAAAATTTTTCAATATGGCAACAAGGCACGTGTCAAGTTATTCAATATAAATTGGTTATAATTTTAAGAAATATAACTCCATTACAAAGATAAATTAATTAATTTCTTTAAAAATGAAATATTATTATTATTTTTTCGAGTTTATTTAACGTAATATTTTAAGGAAAATTTTTATTCTTTTGATAGGGGGACAGAAAAAAGAATAAACATGGCGAAAGCGTTCCATTTGGTACGCATGCGTTATTTGCATTACGACGACGAAGACAAAAATGGCTTCCGCAAAGTCGTTAGAAGAAATGTTGTCTTCCGTAGTCGATGAACGTGCCGTTAATGCCTTCGTACGATCACTTGATTCGCAATTGTCGACGAATATTCAACTTTCACATCAAGATATTACGACAAGTATTAATAATCAAATAGCTAAACAGGCAAATATAATAACGACAGATGATTTAAAGCATGGAAGTATAGAAAGATCAACAATGACAACGAATAATTCGCAGACGTTTTGTGATAGTAGTTTAACAACATCATCAGTCAGTGATAATGTTATTGTGACATTAGCCAATGCATTACCAGCAAGTGGATATATGAGTCAAGTGGGGCCTAGTCCACCAATTCAGCCGAGTTTAGTTAAGAATATAACTCCCATGGAAGTAAATCCTGATACGAAATTAGTTTATGCTCCGTTAACTAATGTTACTCAATTACATACTCAAGTATCTACTGAAAACAGAACTGTCATTCAAAGGAATACGGCTCATACTGTTTCAAATGGTAACATTGTTTCTCGACAGCCTAGTACTGTAGTATCAGTTCCATCTATTTCTAAAACTATGAATCAGTTAAATACAATTAATACACAGTCACCAATTGGTTCTAATACAATTTTAGTTCCACATTCTATGTTGTTAACAACTGATTCACAACAGCCTCTTAATGGTAGTATAAAGGATATAGTTTCAGAAACAAAAGGGCAGAACAGTTTACCACAGACAATTCTAACATCCTATGGAAAACAAGGAGCAAATAATTCGTTATGTAATCAAAATTTAACAACGATAATAAAAGGATCTTCACCACAAATATCAGTTAAAAATGAAAGTATACCTCAGTCACATATTGGTGCTGCAACAGTTTCTGTAGCTAATATTGTGCATTCGCAGCAACCTACAAAGCACGTTATGTCTCAAGTTTCGGCATCAAATATGCTTTCGGGTGTACAATTAATAAATATGTGTGCTGGAAATGCAGGAACGATAACGACTCAAAAATCTTCGGCACCCAGAGTTGTATTTAGTAATCCTGTTCGAATTGCTGCTGCTCCGCAGGTGATTGCAGCTCGACCGAGAGCTCCTATTCAGGTAGGATAATAGTAATTATTTATATAATACTTTACATAAACATCATCATTAGACTAGCAATCAATAATATATACAAGCTAAAATATTATTTAATAGCCTATAGATTTTTATATTCATAATTATCTGCTCATCAAATAATTTCATAATGTTAAAAAAAATGTAAATAAAAAAATATGTAGTTTCTAAGTTACTTTAGTTTGTATTTGCACATAATAATGTAAATGATATATCATTGTAGATCATTATGTTGTTACTGTATATATTATTTTGATAATTGGATTCTTAATAATTTTGATATACAGAAATACCAAGTCTTTGCTGTACAGAAATATTGTGTTGTTAAAATGGTTTACTATTAGTTTATCATATAAAAATGAAAGAATTATATTAGTGTTTGTCTATTTGTCAAATTCAGACTTGGCATAATGCCAATTTAATTATTTACTTCCAATGAGATCTAGTTTGAATATATTTTTAAATGATTGAATCAATGTAAAAAATATTTTTTTCAGCACAAACTTTTATATAACATTAGAAAAACTTTGTGTTTTAATTCAAGATGTATTAGAATTTTTAATGAGATAAGATGTATGAAACACATTTAACCTGTAGGAGTTTCATTTGATCTTATTTTACATATTCTGATTTTCCAAATACAGTTAAGAAATATAGAAAGAATTTTATAAAATTTAAAATGATATCTTTACCATAAGTTTAGCAATTGCACATTGATAGTAATTTACTAATATACATACTTATGTTAAGATTACAACATTTATACATTCATTCAATGAATAATAATATAATTTTATATATGATATAATTTACTAATAAATATTTTATTCAAGATAAATACTTACAATAAGTATTTTGATAGAAAAATAATGTTTTTATTATTTGTTATAACAAAGGGCCAGATTTATATGCATTTAAAATTACTGCAAACATTTTATTAAACATGCCAGATGTATGCAATGTTTCATGCATATTAAAATACTTGAAATATGCATTATGTCTATGGAAATTTGTTATATATTTGTTAAAGCATAAGTAATATAAACTTAAATTTACAGGTTGAAATGCATACATACTTCTGACTGTGAGCAAATCTTACTAATAGTGAGGTTGCGGCCAAAGTTTTCATCTCTAAAATGTGAACGTTGAATGTTGAGTGCCGCTTACAAGATAGCAGTGCTCAACATTCGACGTTCACATTTTAAAGATGAAAACTTTTGCCTTAACCTTGCTATTATCTATTATGCTACACTTTTTAGATGGGAGGGACTTAACATGCGATAATAGGTGATACAAGGGATTTGAGAATTACTATGTCACAAAACATGTGTTAAGTAGGATGTGTTCACTCAAGTCAATTATAAATAAAATTACATGTTTGATAAAATTTTGTAACTTTTTATGCTATCTAATCCATCATTATTGAATTTGTATCTATCTATATATATATAATTATTTACATTATGTTTGAGGATGACTGGGTTAACCTAGTTTTATTCACTATATAATCACTAGTCTAAAGTAGTCACATATTTTTGTTTACTCATTTATCATCACAAGTTTACTCATTTAGTAAACTTGTGACGATAAATAAAAGTAGTCACATATTTTTGTTCACTCATTTATTATTATTTGTAAAGGGCTATAAATAGCCCTTTACAAATGATGATAAATGAGTAAACTCTGTTTGATTATTAATTATAGCTTTAGTATGTCAAAGTTGATAGTAATGTTTTGTATCCAACTGATCATCTTCTTTGTAGCTTCTTCGAGCTGGAGGTTGCTAACAATCGATTGCCACTCCTCCCGATCTCTCGCAGTGCGAATTAATCTATTCTTATTAATTTGATCCACTCCGCTATATCTTGTAGGTAGGTCCTCTGCTGTCTTCCTTGGGAACGGATTCCTTGGATCCTGCCCTGCAGTATGACGGGAAGCAGTGAGTTGGTGGCCCGGATGGCATGGCCGCAGTACCTCGCTTTGTTTCCCGCTATGATAGGAAGCAGCTGTCGCTCTCCCATTCCAATCCGTTCCAGCATGCATGCGTTGGTCACTCGCTCTGTCCAGCTGATCCATAGCATGTGGCAGTAGCACCACATTTTGAATGCTGCCAGTCTTTTCTTCATACCCTTATTCAGGGTCTACGTCTCGCACTCGTACAGCAAGACAGACCATGTTTCTTATCCATAAGTGTTTGCTGGAGGTTAGAGAAGGTTAATTTCGCCATTTGGATTTGTGTTCAGATTTTCTTGTCACATCTACCATCTCTTGTTATAATGACTTCAAGATATTTTAATTTGGTTACTTCTTCCAGTAAAGTACCATCTACAAAGATTTGGGAATTGTCTGCCACAGAGTCTTTACTTATTTTTATCCATTTTATCTTTTTTCCGTTGATACACATGCTATATTTTGCACTGCCTGCTTGGAGTAAGTCTAGCATTTGTTGGAGCTCCATTGCAGATGTGACAATGCATGTGAGATCGTCAGTGTACCGGATGTTTTTGATATTCACTCCTCTGACCCTGATCCCCATATCCTTGCAGAAACATTCTTGTGTTCGAGAAGACATTAAAAAGTGTGGGTGATAATACACATCCTTGTCTAACTCCTTTTTCTGTCTGACACAGTTCTGTTTCTATGTTGTACAGCTTAATTGTGGTAGTCTGGTCCCAGTATAGATTGCCGATCAATTTGTAGTCATTTGTGTCTAGATTGACTCTCTTTAATATTTCCATTAAAAGTGGGTGTTGTACTTTGTCAAAAGCTTTTTCATAGTCGATGAAACCAATGTACAACTCTCTTTGCATTTCTATGGCTCTTTCTGATAAAATTCTCACAGCAAACAGTGCATCAATAGTGCCCATTCCAGGTCTAAACCCAAATAGCGATGGTCCTATCTGAGCCTCCATTTTGTTTCATATTTGGTATCCTATAATTTTTAGTAAGAGCTTTAGGTTATGGCCCATTAGACTTATGTTTTGGAATTGTTCACACCACTTGTCATTGTGCTTCTTTGGAATTGGGATGAAAGTGGATCTTTTGAAGTTGCATGGTAGCTGTCCTTCTTTGTAGATTTTATTAAAAAGATCTAGTAACAATAGTTTTGGAGACATGCCCAAGGATTTTAGGAGTTCAGCTGGAATATCATCACCACCAGGAGCTTTTTCACATCTCAGAGTCCATGGCATGTTTTAATTCTTTTAGAGTAATAGGAGGGGTAGGCATCTCCTGTTGTATGAACCTGGGAATGTTTATTGTGATCTCCAAACAAATCTTTGATGTACTCTGTCCAAGTTTTAGCTCTTTCTTCCTTTTCACATTTCATTTTGCTTTGTTGGTCTATTAAATTTGTTATGTCCTTCTTTGTTTTGTTAAGTTCTTTCATCGTTTCTTTGATGATTCTATGGACTTCTCTGGTATAGTGCTTTTTCTTGTGCTCTGCTATTGTTTCACAATTTTCTTTGAACCACTTTTCTTTAGCTTTGGCGCATTCATGCATGATCATCTGATGAAGTTTTTTGTATTCTCCAGGGTTTTGGTTCTTAAACTTTCTGCATTCCTCCATCAGTGTCAAAATGTCCTCTGTGATCCAAGGGTTCTTCTGCTCTTTTCAACTGATCATAAACTCTACTAAAGTTAGTTTTAATGCAACTAAAACTTATCTGTAATCAATTGCTGATTTGACTCATTTTGATATTTTGTGTTGTGCTGATGTAAAGACATTTCAATTTGTTGAAACACCTGAAACTTTTCTATGAAGAAACAATTTGTGCCCTACATTACAATAAGGAATTTTCCATCTGTTTTAAATGTCTAGGATCCAAATTCCTGTACTTACTTTCATAGCAATTCTGTTTTAGATTTGCTGTTTTATCCATGATCTTGGTTGAATTGAACTTGATATAGCAGAATATTTTCTATACAGTAGTCAGATTTTTGTATTATACACAGAAGTTTAACTATTTTACTCATAAGAAATTATCTCTATTGTATTTAATTAAACATTAGATTTACTTTTGAAAGATTTAAATTTTATAATATTAAATTAATGAATAACTTTAATTTAATTAATTCAAAGGATTTTAAGAATTTGAAAAATGAGAGATTTCCATGGTGATGCAAAGCAGGTTCATTTGTGGGACTTTAAAAGAATGAGAATTAGATGGTTCAACTTTAAAATATTTGAATTTTATATGCATCTGTAATTTGGATGACAGAGTGATATTTCTCATGTTATCTGTACCTGCACAAGAAAAGATTTATTGCAAAAATAGCAGAAATGGACTATAGATTATTTGAAAAAAAAAAAAAGATAGCAGTTGCAATTACTAAAACTTTATAAAGCATTTATTTAGTCCCAAAAAATCAAATTTGTAGCGTATTGACTAAAAGTATATGTCACGACCAGGGGCATTAGTAAGGAAAAACGTGATTGGGTAATATTTTGGTGTCATTTTCTGTCAGTCTAACTAGTAGTTGTATGCACATATGGCTTGTGACTTAAATAACAGATTAATAGATTTAAAAGAAAGTGCTTTTCCATCTTGGATAACTCAACCAATATTGGTAGATATAACTGATGTGGCCATGCAGTATCAAAATGATGAATCTTTTAAAACACTATTCAACATAAAAAATACAATGGCGTGGCTATGTGTCGAGACAGAAACAAAATACCCAATTATGACAAGTTTAGCAAGAAAATTACTGTTGCCATTCTTATCGTCGTATTTAGTTGAATGCGGGTTTAGCACTGTAAATGATTTGTATTGAAAAAAAGAAATTGTCTGGATATCACAAACTGGAGATTTAAGACTAAAATTGACCAAATTATTACCTCACATAAAAACTCTGCAGCACACATCAAGCACAAGGATTGCACTAATTTCTTCACAGTTGACATACATATTTACTTACATAATAATAAATTAAAAATAGTATTGATTATGTGCATTTTTCGTTTGAAGCTGCCATCATTTTTT